TGTAGGTTCGTAAGTCTTGAAATCGTATCAGCGCTGTAGGTAACACGATTAACCATGTGCCACCCTATACCTTTATTCTTTTTTAAAGTCATAGGATCGTAATCATATCCAAACAACTTATTAATTTTTCTTGCTTTGCTTGTTATCTTGCGTAAATACTCATCAGTAATACCTGTAAGGTATGGTCTCATTTCATTATAAATTTGAGCTCTTGCAGTTTTATCCTTAAGATTTTTGTCTTTGGATCTAAGTTCTATAACCTTATCTTCGAATCTTTCAGAATAACGACCCCAGGATGAAATTTCTTCCCGTTTAGTTTTGATAGATTTTTTTGTCGCTTTACATGCTTGATACAACAAATGAGCAAGCTCGACTGCACCGGGTGGAGAATCTGAGGGTTCGCTGTTAATAAATTCGATATTATCTTCTATAGAATTTACTAAAAATCCTTGTAACAAACCTTGCACAATTTCGGTCACTAAACTTGAATCCTTAATATATTTTTCGGGCACATTTTGCGCAGACTCTGGTATAATTTTTTTTTGATCATGAACAGTGTTCATGGTTTTTATATTACATAGTGGTTTGGACGAAACTGGCTCTACTGAAGAAATATTGTCCAAAGATGTGTTTTTATCTTGGAACATCTCTCTGTTCCTCTGCCTCATTATATTACTAACTCTCTTCTTATTTTCCAAATCTATGAATTCGTCGATCTCTTTTTCTTCTAATGATTTTAGTTTGACTGAGTCAGGAATCTGAGATTCTGAGCTTTGCTTAATTTCTCTGAGGTTAGACATAATAGAAGTTGTATTTATTACCTGTTTAGAGGTATTGTCGAGACCTGATTCGGAAGAAACAGCGCTTTGTACCTGTTTTGGATCTATAGAGCCTGTGCTGTTTTCTTCATCGGGGTGGGTTTCAATAATTGAAACGGGTGATTGAGAAATGTTAGTATTCTTTTGTGAAGTGATATCTGAATTATGGTTTTCAATTTGAAAGGTAGATTCGCATTCTTCCGTCAAGAATTGTAAATCCCGCTTCTTGAATTCTTGTTCTAAATTTGCAACTCTGCCCTTAAGCTCAGCATTTTCTGTCTGGCTTTGTCTTGCACTCTCAGCATGTTCCTTTGCAGATCGTTCTAATTCCGCAATTCTAGTATTAAGTTCTGCATCTCTTAATTTCACATGCGAATCTTTTCCTCTATAATTTGTCTCAGTTGAGCATTCTCGGCTAAGAGTTTTGCATTTTCCTGTCTTAATAAATCTAGTTCAGATTGCATGGTTCGATAATAATTTTTATATAAGACGCGATTTATTTAAATTATTGAGTTAAAAAAAAACATGACAAAACCGTGAACAATGAAATTCCATGCATACTGTTATATATAGTATATATAGAGTTCATATAAAAAATC